GATCGCTCTAAAGTATGTCCGGCCACACCCTAAAAATGGGGCTTTTTATATGGTCATCAGTTAAATGGCTGCAACTTACCAGAAATATTGTCCCATGCATGGAAAATGTATTTTTCGAAAATCTAACCATTAATGTGGGGGCTTTTCCCCAAGTCAGAACGGCCTTAAAATTGCAGCCCCACCCACCCCCTCTATATAAATCATCTAAACATATGTACATTTAAAATTAAATAACAGTGTTGTAGTATGGTTTATAACTTGGGTCTGGCAGTTCCCATGGTAATCATTAGAACAGTTTATCTCTGTGCAACCAACAATGAACTTTTTTATCTCATAATATAAATATTTTTGTACAATATATAATATTCTATAGGTGTACATGTATTGTATATTAGTCTTCAGTTACAGTGTCTCATAGAGTACAATTATTTTGTTTTCTTTCACATAACAGGTATGCAATTTTTACAGTCGGAACAAATTTCATTCATTTTGCAAGTTGAAGCCTAAGAACTCGTTACAACATGAAAATTGAAAAAGACGATGGTATAATCAATCCAATTGGTAATATAACTGAAATTTCCAAATATTCTGAATTAAGGCATAAAGTCAAGCAGTAATATATATATAAGCATGTATATAGATTAGAGTAGATCCAGTACAAATATGTCCATGATTACGGTAGATAAATACATACAAAAATACAAAATACGTCAAGTTGGAAAAATCAACCACTCTTACTTCTTTATTCTGGTATACATCATATCGTACGAAGGCTGGTGCTGTCTTCATTATGGCAATGGTGCCGATGTCGGTCGGATTCTTGTTTTTAAGAAAGATACTCTACAAAACTGTCAACAAATTTTAGAAATCCGGAAAAAGTCACGTTTGAAGTATGCTGAAATTATGCTCCCCAAAGTTGTTAATGAGTTAACAGGATTTCATATGGAATGATGTAGAAGATTTACGGAGCTATCTGAAATGAAAAGAAATGTGCTTTAACGTCCTACTGTTTTGCTCCGAACTGGGCTAATGAAGACGGGCATAAACCATACAGTGTGCTATGAGGGAAATTTTGCCCGGACAGCGGCACTACGGCCTACTCTTATATCGAATTCCAACTGTCAAGGGATCTTTTACGTGCACGCCAATGTGTACACGGGACCTCGCTTTTTCGTCTCATCCGAATGACTAGACAGCTGTCCTTGTCAGGCCCTCCGTCCTGCATCACTGACAAGGGGGAACCACGCCGGAAAATCGGGATGAACTTTCTCGGCTAAATTAGGGATCGAACACCCGACCTCCAGGCTAGCGAGCCAGCGCCTTACCCACTTAGCCACCGTGATCCCCACGGAGCTATCTAAAATTCAAAAGAAATAGAATGATGAAGTACAAGAAAATGACAATTCAAATCCCTGATTGATGAGATCGTGTTTAACATTGACTTCTGCATTCAGTTTTGGTGTGTTCGAGAAGGTCTGCCTGTTTTGCAGGAATTCAAACAGAAAACATCAACGTCAGAAACAGAAAGTAATAACCTGTGTCACAACGACAATCGAAAAAAATATTCAAGATTATGCAACAATTCTTCAGGATGTGGTCGGACATACTTTAGAGCGATACTTTAGGGTATGGATCTTTGTTTCCAGTAAGTTTCACCCATGTAACTTATGACCATATTAGTAGCCCCGTGAGGCCATATTCGGCGTGGTCTGACTTGGGGAAAGCCCCGTAAATTTTGGTTAGATTTGTGAAATATTTAATCCGTCTATGGATACCATTGTCCCTACAAAGTTTCAGCCATGTAATTTATGACCTAATTTTAGGGCCTACTTTAAGGTGCTGCTGTGGCTATACGCCCCAGCAGTGCCCGATCTGACCAACTGATTTTTACTCGTACGGACACCTGCTACGAATTTGGGTGTTCAAACCTTTTGTAACTGATGACCATATTATTTTGTCATTAGCTCCTGGACTATTACTGAAAGACCAAAGTAGGAGAAATTTTTGAATTAATATAAATAAACATTATTTTCAGTCTTAATGTAAAATTGGGTTTTCTCTGGGTACTCCGTTTTCCTCCCACTTCCACAGACCCCTACGCGCAAACGAATTATTGAAACAAAATTGAACCATATGTTAGTCCGGAAATGACATAGTTTGGGTCGTGTGGACGTTAAACCCCATTTCTCTATATCTCTTAATCGTCCCTGATCTCGTGTACAAAACGTTCGACGCCTGGAATTGGTCGATGTGTGATCGAGCCCCCCCCCCCCCCCCAAAAAAAAACCCCCAAAAACTCTAAATTTGTTGTTTGTGGGAACAGCACCAGAAGGGGATGCTGTTCACACTACCACCAAGATTGGTTTTGTTACACATCTCGAGTACATCCACGAAACCTATGTCCAAATGTTTACCAATGACAATATAAATCCTTCTGCGTAGTCAATTTTGTGGATTAACCCACTTCTGAGGTCAAAGGTCACATTGGTCGGTCAATCCTAAATGCAAATCTCAGTAATAGAACAAAATGAGTATCAAATTGTTCCTTGGGACCCCTAGATCAATATGAATCCTTCTGGATGGTCTATTTTTAGGATTTAACTCGCTTCTGAGTAGGCCAATGGTCGGTCACGCCCAATCCACCTTAAATGCATATTTCAGTAGATACCTTCAGTACAAGCAGAAACTGAATATCAAACTGTTCCTTGGGACAACCTATGGCAACATCGATCCTTCTGATTATTCGGTTTGGGGGGATTAACCCACTTCTGACCAGGTCAAAGGTCACCATGGGGATTCCCTGAGGCAATACGAATCCTTCCTAGTCGTCAATTTTGGGAGTAGGTCAAAATCACCTTTGATCGACCAGCCGACCAATGTAACTGTTCCTTGTGACCCCCTGGGGTAATATGAATCATTCCGAGTAGTCAACTTTGGGGATTAAGCCACTTCTGAGTAGATCAAATTTCGCCATTGGTCGGTCACGCGAAATTCACCTTAAATACATACCTCAGTATATACCTTCAGTACAAGCACTAAACATGGCCGACTGAGGCAGACGTGTCGAGGACGAGAGTTAATCTCCTTCAGTATTAGCAGTGTTTCATTTTAGATGATCTATCAAGATCAAATTAAAAACTTGACACTGATGAATTTCAACAAATTTTTTTTTCTGGTAAGTCAAATAAATTTAAAAGTGTTTCTAACGATAGTAAGTAGTAAGAAGCCTTTAATTTCATAAAATTGTAAAGTCACGTGGATCACGTGACTTTTGAGCATATAAAGATGAAAAACCTGAAAAACACGTGCAAACACAAACTTGTGAGGTCAATCGATGCAAGTTTGCTTAAACTAAACACGCACACGTAACTTGAACTGGAAAAACAAATTAAAATTGATATTTTCATCTTTGTTAATGCCGCGCCTTTCAAATGTAGAACGTCTACGTGCTATAGGTAGGCTCTATGCTGGTCAGTCTGTGGTCACTGTTGCAAGAGCCTTTAATTCTTCACGCCAGACAATAATTAATCTTAGAATGAGAGTGCTTCAAACTGGAACTATTGCCGACCGCCCAAGGGCGGGAGCGCCACGTGTGACGTCACTCCAGGAAGATCAAGCAATACGATTACGTCATCTTCGAAACAGATTTGTCACTGCAACCTCCACAAGTAGAGAGATGTTTGGTGGAAGGGTAACTGCACAAACTGTTCGAAATCGCTTGCAGGCTGCTGGTCTTCGAGCTCGGAGGCCCTATAATGGGCCAATATTGACACCTCTTCATCGCCGTAACCGACTTGTGTGGGCCACAAGACACATAAGATTTACTCAAAAACAGTGGAATTCGGTTGTCTTTAGTGACGAATCTCGATTCACTTTGAGATTTGCCGATGGCAGGGTCCGAGTGTACCGCAGACGAGGTGAATGTTACGCTCAAGTTTGCGTCAGAGAAGTTGACCGATTTGGTGGCGGCAGCGTCATGGTTTGGGGTTCTTTTTGTGCACATCGACGTTCTCCTCTTGTTGTTGTTCAAGGGAACTTAAATGCTGTCCAGTACAGGGATCATCTTCCGTTTATGCAGAGACATGGGCCTGGACTAACGTTTCAACAAGACAATGCCGGTGTCCAAGTCCTGGATTGGCCGTCGCTTAGCCCCGACCTTAATCCTATTGAACACATCTGGGACGAACTGGGTCGACATGTTCGTCAGAAAGTGAATCCACCACTGACGTTGCAGGACCTTCAACATGCCCTTGCTGAGTAGTGGCGACGTCTTCCTCGGGTAGTGTTTACTAATGTTCTGAGATCCATGAGAAGACGTTGTGTGGCAGTACGAGACGCTAGAGGAGGCCACAATCGTTACTAAACACTTTATTCCGATTGTTCTCCAAGTCTGTGAATTTCATTTTGGGGGGTACTGTGACATCACGAACGTTATCAATGTCAAGGACTTTCGGCGAGACGTATTCTTGCTTTCTGTTGATGTCAAGGTCGTCTGTGCACAACATAACACTAAAATAGTTGCCTTAAACCAAATATTAAAAATCTAGTCCCAAAAATCCCGAGTGTCAAGTTTTTAATTTTGCTGAGTATAGTTGTCCATTGAACCGTCTGTATTGTGGGTAAATACATATTTTGGCACACAAAGTCAATGCAAAAAACGTCCTGCATTGAAATTCTACTTTCAACAAATAAGAAAACGCAACATCAGAAAGGGAAAAAACTGTGGGAAACATTTTGGCAGGTTTTAGAGTAAATAGGTTTTAAGGTCGAGTTGACTTTGTACTAACTAGAAGTTTGCCCGGTACAAATTTTTATAACTGTATCCAAAATCAAAGAAATAGTGGAATGAACCGGGTTAACAGGTTGTTTACCATTGATATTGCTTTGGGTAGGATGGCTGATGTTTACCGTCATTTCAACCTGCCTCCCCTTCCCTTGAATGGCGCTCTCCACAAACAAAAGGCGATATTACTCACACAGAAGACAAACACGAGGTTTGTATTAGATTTAACTTAGCAACGGTTGGCACGGCTCACTCAGTTGTTCTTATCTGTTGGGGTTTAGGATATTGCTTTGTGAAAATGAAGACTAAAATATCCACTCTGCGAATCACCGTACTCGGGTCTGCAAATGTAGGCAAATCAGGTAAGGCATTTTGAATAGTAATAGCAACACGCTTAGGTTGTCGTTTCATCTTCTTAATTAAATCGGTAATTCCATGTCAAGTGAACCAAATTCTAACAAAATTGTCGGGTGACCCCCTCAGAATATTATGAAACAAGCGGTTGCCATGAAAGATACGCCCATATTTTACAACAGATGGGCAGAGAACAATTTAAAACGCGATTTTTCGTACAATCGGGGGTATTATACCGGATGTTACGGTCCAACATGCGTGAATATCGAAAGTTTTCGGGTGACCTCCTCAGACCATTATGAAACAAGCGTTTGTCGATATTTTGCAACAGATGGACAGAGATTTTTCGTACAATCGCGGACCATAATCCCGGATGTTATGGTCCGATATACGTCAATATCGAAAGAACCGAGATCTTAAGGATATGAACATATATTCTAAGTTTCATCAAAATCGGATAAAAATTGTGACCTCTAGAGGGTCCACAACCTTGGTATTACATGCTTATAAAACTATTTGCGTAAAGGAGAACTGCCATTTTGTCAGACAGCCTGGGTTCGATTTTCCCGAACTTCGACTTCAACCGTACTTATGGTGTAACGATAATATATTTGAACGGTTTTTAAAATCATATAAAAATTGCAACCTCTAGAGGGTCCACATTCCAAAAACGTGATTTTTCGTACAATCAGGGGCAATAATCAAGGGAGGTACGGCCCCATATGTGCCATTCTCATCAAGATCAGATAGCAATTGTGTCCACAGACAAAAGACGTGATTTTTCGTACAATCAGAGACCATAATTCATGAAGTTATGGTCGGATACTTGCCAATATCGAACTGAGATCTTTGGGATATAAACTTATATTTCAAGTTTTGTCAAAATGTGATACAATTTGTGACAAGTTGAGTGTCCACAAACACTTTGTGGAGGGACGGGCAGGGGCTACGACAATATACGTCTACATGAAACTGTGGATGTATATACAATCTGATTAAAACACAGATCGTTTCGTTTTTAACAGTTCAAAATTTCGTTACACTGGTGTCTGAAAATGATGTTATATACTCTTCAAAAAAGGTAGGGGATATTGAAATGCAGGTTGTCATATGATCAATACACGCAATAGCGCCATACACGTGGGAGGGTTTCAATGTCAAATTTGACAGTTCAAGGAAGGGTTGATGAAAACTGCCGCTTGCTGGTTTATCCTATCCATGTTTGCTTTCCTATCGGTTCTTGCATAAGATTTACTGTTTAGCGTATCTTTGCTTTAGTGTGTTACGTTTAATTTGATCAGGAGACGTATTCGTCGACGTCAACGTCAACCGACAACCCTGCAAGAATTGGCCGTGGCACTTGCAAGAGGAGTGGGTCAGATTGCTCCAAATCGCAATTGGGCGGTTGATTAGGAGCATGCCACGACGAATTGCTGAATGTCTGAGGACTGGTGGAGCAATTACTCATTATTAAGACAAAAATCAAAAACGTCCATTTTCACTTTTGACAGTGTATCTCTTTGCGAGTGAAATGGAGCCGTCAGATAAGCCGCCTATATGAATTGTTTATGTTCATTTAGGCAATTGGCCTGTTATTAACATACCTTGGTTACCTCTAATAAAAACAGCAGTGCATTTCCGCAGTTTTGTATTGTTTCTGAATATCAACTACTTTTTTAAAGAGTATATAACCCACGTTCTGGATGATTATTTATTATTATTATTGCATGTATTTTATATAGCGCTCCTTTCATGATAAACATGTTCAGATGCGCTATAGAATATATATAGATAGGGTTTATAAAAAACAAGCCAACATTGCACATTTATCTTTTGCAAAAGTATCGAGCAATCAAACTGATTATCTATGCTTAGTCTAAGCATAAAATGTTCATTATTAGACTCCGGTTTTGAAGTACCTGGTAGTGAGTGAAACTATACACTAAGTTTCATCACTCTCCATTTGTTAGAATCAAAGTTATCTTGTCCCAAAGAACCGACCAAAGAAATTGCTTAGCTCTGCTTAGCTTTAATGGGAAATATTAATCATTGAACTCAATTAAGACATTCGCCTAATGAACATCTATACCTCCATTAAAAGCAGAATTGTTATGTTATGTTATGTTGGCTAATCAAATTGCTTATCGCTACTTAGCCTAAGCAGAAAATTCTCATTGTCGAACTTAGTCAATGTATTGATATAATAAATCTATACTCAGAGTTTCATCGCTCTCACCCAATTAGAACCAAAGTTATCGTGTTCTAAAGTCTCAACCAATCAAATTGCCCATCTCTGCTCAGCGTAATAGACACCTATACCAATTTTGAACATTCTACCCCAGTAAGAAGGAAAGTTATTGTGTTCCAAAGTCTCGACCAATTAGGTTGAAGTCTATACTTTGCCTAAGCAGAAAATGCCCAGCATCGAACCCTGTTAAGGTATTGATGTAATAAAACTATACACGACGTTTCACCACTATCATTCATTTAGAATCAAAGTTGTCGAGCTCCAAAGTCTCGACCAAATCAAATTGCTTATCGCGTTGCTACCCTTTGCCGAAAATGCCCCCATAATCAAAAATAGTCATGGTATTGATGCAATGAAACTATACACCAAGTTCCACCACTCTCACTTAATTAGAACCAAAGTTCTCATGTCCCATAGTATCAACCAATCAAATTGTTTATCTCTGCTTACCCTAAGAAGAAAATGCTCATATTTGAACTCCATCTAGGCATTTGCCCAATCAACGCCAACACCAAGTTTGAACATTCTACCTCAATTCGAAGGAGAGTTATTGTGTTTCAAAGTCTCGAAAAACCAAATTGCTTATCGCTCTGCTTACCCTGAGCAGAAAACGCTTATTATCGAACTTAGTCAAGGTATTGGTGGCATAAAACTATACACCAAATTTCATCACTCTCCCTTAATTAGAACTAAAGTTATCTTATCCCAAAGAATCAACCAATCAAATTGAATATGACCGCTTACCCTAAGCAGAAAATGCTCATCTTCGAACTCCTTCAAGGCATTGACCTAATAAACACCTACACCAGGTCTGAACATTCTAGCTCAATTATACTCAGCCAAATTAAAAACTTGACCCTCGGAATTTTTGGGACTAGATTTTTAATATTTGGTTTAAGGCAACTATTTTAGTGTTATGTTGTGCACAGACGCCCTTGACATAAACAGAAAGCAAGAATACGTCTCGCCGAAAGTCCTTGACATTGATAACGTTCGTGATGTATCAGTACCCCCCAAAATGAAATTCACAGACTTGGAGAACAATCGAAAAAAAGTGTTTAGTAACGGTTGTGGCCTCCTCTAGCGTCTCGTACTGCCACACAACGTCTTCTCATGGATCTCAGAACATTAGTAAACACTACCCGAGGAAGACGTCGTCACTGCTCAGCAAGAGCATGTTGAAGGTCCTGCAACGTCAGTGGTGGATTCACTTGCTGACGTTCACCTCGTCTGCGGTACACTCGGACCCTGCCATCGGCAAATCTCAAAATGAATCGAGATTCGTCACTAAAGACAACCGAATTCCATTGTCTTTGAGTAAATCTTATGTGTCTTTTGGTCCACACAAGTCGGTTACGGCGATGAAGAGGTGTCAATATTGGTCCATTATAGGGCCTCCGAGCTCGAAGACCAGCAGCCTGCAAGCGATTTCGAACAGTTTGTGCAGTTACCCTTCCACAAAACATCTCTCTACTTGTGAAGGTTGCAGTGACAAATCTGTTTCTAAGATGACGTAATCGTATTGCTTGATCTTCCTGCAGTGACGTCAAACGTGGCGCTCCCGCCCTTGGGCGGTCGGCAATAGTTCCAGTTTGAAGCACTCTCATTCTAATGCCCCATTGACACTTTCACGCAATCGTGGTACGCTTTGGTACGCTAAAGTTCGTACCAAGACGAAAACTAATCGTAAACTATGCGTACCATTGCGTGCCATGCGTGACAGTGCCGACCCAAAACCTTGGATTTTTCAAGCTCATGCCACGCACTCCAGGACGTACAAGGGCGTACCATTATCGTAATCTATGCGCGAACTATGTGGAAACTATGCGTACCCGGTGCGTAAAAGTGTCAATAGAAATTATGTCACGCACTGTTTCTTCATAGCAACATGCTAACCGTCAACGGCTCCAAGACAGTTTGTGGTAATTCCATCTGCTACTAAAACCTTCAGCAATAGTCTTCCACTAGTCTTCTGTTCTAGGACAAACTAATACTTCTGGCTTGTAGACCTTGACGATAGCTTTACATACTTCTGGTAGAAACTTGCATATAGTGCTAAGTTCCACTCTGAAATTGTATTGGAGACATATGCATAGGAATCGCCACTGGCTAAGAAGCGGAGTGTGATTGCTAACTTCAGGTCAACTTCAAGAGGTTCTCTCATAAATGTTTTATTCTTCTTCAGGTGTGGGGTCAACTTTTCAATCATCTCTTGAAACAGTTCGGGGGTGAAACGTAGGAAGTTCCGGTAACCTCTGCGATCTTCCTTGTGTAGTTCCGACAAAAACTGGTCATAATGGCCAAAATGTTGTCTCCTTGTCAACCATTGCCTCACCCAGAGTCTGCTGACTTTTCTTTTCTTGCTGCAGGCAGACGTTCTGTCGGTGTCAGGTTTTGATTGTAGAACAATATTTCATTCACTTTCATCTTGTTCCAAAAGTAATAGACCTGCAGCTGCTGTAAGATGTACGTTGTGCAAAGTAAGCTTCCTTTTATTCAAAGTCTCCGGATGTTCATCATTTTGAAGAGTTGCCGACGGAATGAACCATATCCCAATACCTTTCCTTTATATATACTATTTCTATGAAGCGTGCCAGTGCGTGCCACAAAATGACTCACAAAATGGTCACGCATTCTTAAAACTTAGTACACTAGCGTAACCAATACCTGACAGTGCAGGAACTGGCGTACCATGGCGCAAGTGCGCGGTCACCTGCTCAAACTGTGCGCAAACTATCCGCAGATATTGCGTACTGTAAC